CAAGTGGTAAGGACTCCCATACTCGACTGGAAGAAGAGGGGGGGAAGTGTGGTGGAGAGTCTAGAGGAATGGCTACATCCGAGACAGTGCAATTGGTGATCACGAAACCTTATATTAAAAAAGCAAACCATACCAATTTATTCAATTGAGGCATGGCAATGATGGGCATCTATCTTGGTCATCCAAAGACCTAGAGAAAAGAGTAAAGTAGGATTCCATGGTGAAGCATTGGGTGTGAACGTACTGATTGAGATAGGTTAGGTCGATGGCCAGCCTTCAGTTCCTGGTCTGTTTGGGAACCACAAACAGGTGGGAATAAAACCCCTGTTAACCTCGTGGAGCAGGTTCGATAGCCTGTTAAGTGAAGAGGTCTTGTACCTCCTTGGATAGATGGTGGGATGACGAGGAATCCTGAGGAGGAGGAGGAATGAAACAGACACACGGGAAGAGGGAGGAAGGGTAAGAAAAAGTATAAGGAATCCCTCTAACAAAACTACACTAATGAACGAAGGTCACCAGACGAGCTCCCACTGGATCTGAACCAACCAGGTAGTCACCAGAACCACTGTTGGCATACCATGCGTCATCATGAAAAACAACAAACAGTAGCATCGTGGGAAGGGGAAGCAGGCAAAGTCTGGGAAGGGGGGTTGGGAGACAGGAATAGGTTCCAACTGGAACAAACGGGCCAGCAGATGAGATAGGATGGAATGTTGTTAGACTGAAGACACCCTCGACTCCAAAAATTCCAGGATTGTGTCAAACACAAAATGTCTCAAAAAGGGGGCCATACAAAGGTCCCATAGATAAGGAGGCAGGTACATAACCCAAAAGGTCCCAATAACAAATAAACTACATTTGCAGGGCTAGAGCTGAAGACAACAGGTAAGCCAACGTGGAAGTGAGGAGGGAGAAGACATCCCCAGAAAAACCCTCAGGGTTCCTGTGAAGAACCTTACTACTTCAAAAAAAGTTGTCAGGGTAAGAAAAAGGTGGGAATACTGTGCATTGGTAAGGTGAATGGGAGATTTGGGTCCCACCCCCCAAACAGGCAAAACTGAACCCAAGAATTGTTGGTATAGATAGGGACAGTCTGCCAAATTGATAAATAGTTGAGTAAGGTAACAGTGGTGATTTTGATGAAATAATTAGTTGAGTTAGGTAACAGTGGTGATGTTGATGAATTAATTAGTTGAGTAAGGTAACAGTGGTGGTATTGATGAATTAATTAGTTGAGTTAGGTAACAGTGGTGGTATTGATGAATTAATTATTTGAGTTAGGTAACAGTGGTGGTATTGATGAAATAATTAGTGGAGGTATTGTTGAACTGATTAGTTGAGTTAGTTAACAGTGGTGGTATTAACATAACGTTCTGGGACAACATGAAACCTGTTGGTCCATCTCGGCTGTTCCATCCTCAAAACTATATTAAAATAAATAAATTAAAAAAAAGAAAAAATCTTAAAGCCAGCTTTTATCATTCATATACTTATCAAGCTTTTTCTTAAACTTACTTAAATTTACTGCCTCCACAACATCTGAAGGCAACACATTCCAAAGGCCAACCACCCTGTTAGAAAATTAAAACTGTCTTAGGTGAAAATGACTCCTACCTTGCCAACATTTATATTTGTGTCCCCTAGTCATACTATTCTCACAGTTAAATAAGAAAAAGGATGATGCATCAACACTATCAATTCCCTTTACCATCATAAACACCTCTATCAGATCCCCCTTCAAGAGAAAACAATTTCAGAGATTTTGAACCCCCTCCATTCTAGTAACCTTTCTCTAAATCCTTTCCAACAATTTGATGTCTTTCCTAAGGTAAGAATCCCAAGACTGGACACAATATTCCAAATGTGGCCTAACCAGTGACCCGTACAATGAAATTATAACCTCTTTACATTTGTATTCAATATTTCTATAGATAAAATCTAAAATCCTACTTGCCCTACCACTAGCAACAGCACACGGCTTAGATGGCTTTAGAGACTGATCGATTATTACACAAGATCCCTTTCCTTCATAACTCTATTAAGATTATTCCCATCAAAATTATACTTATAATTCAAATTATGATAACCCACATGCATTATCTTGCCTTTATTATAATTAAAACCCATCTGCCATTTATTTGTCCAACTCACTAAATGATCTAAGTCCTTTTGTAAATCAGCAGCATCCACTTCACAGCTAGCAAAACCCAAGATCTTAATACAATCTGCAAATTTAAGAAATTTGTGACCATTCCTTCATCTATTTAATTGATGTAAATCAAAAAGAGCAAAGGTCCTAATACTGAGCCTGAGATACCCCATTTCTGACATTAATCTAGTTTGACTGAACTACATTTGTAACAATTCTCTGCTTTCTTCCATCCAGCCACCCTTCTGTCCAATTTGCTAACTTATCCCTCAAACCTATAGAGATAATTTTTTTACAAGCCTTTTATGTGCCACCTTGTCAAATGCTTTCTGAAAATCCACATACATCAAATCTACACAAGCAGTAACCTTTTCAAAAAATAACAAAAGATTTGTAAGGCGAGATTTTCCCTTAGTTAAACCATGTTAACTATCCAATAAAATTCTAAACTTTGTTAAATGACTTTGCAAAGCATCTGTTAACAGACTTTCCAAAACGTTTTTTACAACTGATGTAAGACTAATGGGTCTATAATTACTAGGACAATTTTAATCACCTCCCTTGAAAAGCAAAGTTAGATTAGCTAACTTCCAATCCTCTTGTACCTTCCCACTATTCGAGGACTGACAAAAAATAATAGCAAGTGGCTCACATATCCAATCTTTAACCTTCTTCACAACCCTTGGGGAAATATTATCTGGCCCAGGAGCCTTATCGTTCCTTAAACTTCCCAATTTTTTCTTAACCAACTCAAAATTAATGCAGTAAGCTATTTTGATCTTGTTTCCAACTATCAACTGATCAAGATGTGGAATACTGCTTAAATCTTCGTTAGTAAAAACCGAAGAAAAAACAAAACTTAATAACCCAGCCATCTCATAATCATCAGATAATAGCCTTCCTTTATCATCCCTCAAGGGTCCTATCCCTAT